ATGCTGAAGTGTAGCTAAAATAAAAGAACAAGCCTAAATTAGCAGATGAAAGCAGAAGGAACATGTTTGCTGCATTTTGTTTAAATAAACATAAATGAGCACAAAAATTAGGAGAGTTTATTAAAAATAAATTAATGCTGAAATTAATTGAACATTAATGCACTTCAGAATTGAAATTTATTGAATTAAACCTTTCGAACTATGGTATTTACTAAAGTTAAGGATAAACACTGTATGTTTGCTTCCATCCTTTGCAGCTAAAAAAGCTAAAAAATTAGCTTAAAAAGCTGAAATTAGCAAAACAACTGAAAGGTAGATTAAAAAAAGGAAATATGCTTAAGTTACAAGAAGGAAGTAGAGAGGCACAATTTTGCCCAATTAGGATGAAAGAAGCAGAAATTAACACAAAATATGGGAAAATATCTGAAAAAGCTGAAATTAGCACCAAAAAAAAAAGTCTGAAAAGAAGCTAAAAAGAAGATTAAATTACCAGAAGGAAAATGAGAGAGCACATTTCTGCTGAATTCAGTTGAAAAAAAAAATAAAAATTGAAACAAGTGCAAAAAATGTGGAATTAGCTGAAAAGGCTAAAATTAGCATAAAAACAGTTAGTAGCTGAAATAGCAGTAATAGCTGAAACTTGCAGAAATAAACTGAAAGGAGCATAACAAGCTGAAATTAGCAGAACAATTGAGAAGAAACACACAAATGTTGTAGTTAGCAGAAAGAATCTGAAAGGAGCACAAAACAGCTGAAAAACAACTGAAATTAGCTGAAAGTAGCTAAAAAAATTGAAATTTGCACAAAGAAGCTGAAGAAGAACAAAATGTGAAAGGAGCTTGTAAACAGATCTAAAGATTTCAAGGATGTAAAATGAGCTCAGTTCATTTTCTAAGAGAACAAAAATGTAATAAAAGGCTAAATATTTCAAAAAGCTAAAGTTGCACCAATACCAAAAGTCAGAGCAGGATTGTCCTGAAAGAGCTGAACATTTTAATTTATGATTTGTAGAAATAGTTTGAAAACTGTGGGACGAGAATCACGTAGAAAAACATGCAGAAAAAAAGGATCACAATAGAGTGAACACTTCATGAACATTCATACAATAAAAATAGAAAATATAAGCTTAAACAATTCAAAAAGAAATGTAAATAAGAAAATCATTAAATCCCACATGTGGCCAGAATGAAGCCGACTGATGAGGTTATGTTGTTTTTGTCTCTGATTACATTTTCAGCAAACATTTCATTTTTTCCTTCATTTTATCTGTTTGATCTTTTTTTTTTGTTAAAAAAATTAAAAACAACCATAATTAAAACTGATTTATTTCTGCTTTAAATTAATTTCCTTGAACTTCGTGCCCACAGACCAACAGCTTATCAGCCTGATTCCAGCTCAACAATGAAATGTATGTTTCATTACTAAATCTTTGTGATCTTGGCTTTGTTGAGTCTAAAGCTCCTTAGAAACTAAACACTCATTCACCACATAAAGACATTAATTCTGGGTCAAATCTCCTGAGTGTAACAGGTGCTGGAGTGTGTTCTGCTTCCTGTTCCATCTGATCGACTCAGACCTCTCAGCCAATCAGGAGCTGCGGCAGTCAGACCACCCAGAAGTTTCAGCTTCACACAGAAATGATCATTTCACTTCCTAAAGTTTGAGAACATATCCTTGAACAATCATTGGTGCTGAACATGTGGCTGCAAAGAGAATATTCAAATTCTTTGTTTTGAAATAAGGTTTTTGTGCCAAAACAAAATGTGAAATCTGTCACATCTGATATTTTATTGAAGAACATCTGGTTGTATATAAATCCTTTCTGTATCTTTAAATCCTCACTCCTGTCATGCTGATGATATTTGAATAATTAAAGCGGCAATTTATTCAGATTTTTATAGTAACCTACAATAGATTTCCTTCCTTATCATTTTTTTTTTAATTATGCACTTTTATGTATAAATCATGTAACTTAAATAAAAATGTATATTTTGTTTTCTTGACTTTGGGTATTTGAGAGTTTAATGACTGCAATACACTTTTTATGATTTCAAGGGGATCCACATGATCAAAAATTCAAAATTCAAAACTGAAGTTAAACGTATGTCTGATTTCATACTTTGCAGCTATAGTATCTTTAATAGTATTTGATTGTTGCAATTTGAGATATTTTTCCCATAGTTGTGCATTTTTGACAGTCTGAAACAGAAATGTGTGTTTTCACCTGATGACATCATGAGCCAGCTGTGAGACGCACACGGTTTACTGGAACGATTTCACTGGAAACAGAAGTCTGAGTGAAGTTAATAAATTAAAACATTGTGCAGAGAAAACAAGAAAATGTCACTTTTAAAAAGAATAACTTGTTTTAACATATCTTTAATATTTTGACAGTGATGTGTGTGTTTTTTTTATGAAAGTGGAGATCTGTGCTGAAAAATATCATTGATACCTTTTAAGGATATAAAATATTTTTGCTGGACTTTTAGAAAGCAAGAGGAATTTCAAATATCAAAAATTCTTTGCTAGTGAGGGAAGAATGGAGCGTGAGAATGACCGACCGATTGGTGCAGCGTCTGCAGTATTGTGGACTCTGTGCCGGTCCATTGTGGTGAAGAGGGAGCTGTAAAGAGAAGTTTCCCAGTCGGTCTACGTTCCTACCCTCATCTATGGTCATGAACTCTGATTAACAAGATCCTGGATCCAGGAGGTCTAAATGAGTTCCTCTGCAGGGTAGCTGGAGTCAGATAGGGTGAGAAGTTCAGTTATCAGGGGAGACTTGGAGTAGAACCGCTGCTCCTCCACATCGAGAGGAGCAAGTTGAGGTGGTTCAGGCATCTGGTAAGGATGCTTCCTGGGTTCCTCCCTAGGGTGGTGCTTCAGACATGTCTGACTGGGAGGAGACCCTGAGGAAGACCCAGGACACGCTGGAGAGACGTCTCTCTGTTGGGCTGGGAACACCTTGGGTTCCTCCTAGAAGTGCTGGAGGAGGTGGCTGTGGAGAGAGATGTCTGGAACCTCCCTGCTCAAGCTGCTGACCCCCCCCCCCCCCCCCACACACACACACACACACACACTACTACCCTGACCTCCAGAACAGGCAGAAGAAAATGGATGGATGGAACATTTCTTTCGTTTTAAGATTGCCGAACATCATTTTCTGTAATCCCAACACCTGCAGCACAATTTTAATCCTTCCAGGATGGATAAATCCTGAGCTGCACGTTGAGCTCCTGAACTGGAATATAAGATGAGCTCATTTCTCTCATTACTGAATACTTTTATTCACAACAACACGTGTGAAGCTGATTTTTCACTAAAGAAAATACATGAACCATGACTGCTGTTGTGTGTCTTCCTGGATTTTGTGCAGAAAAGTTCACGCACTTCTGCGCTAAAAACAGCTCATGCAGGAATATAACAGAAGTGATGTTTAATTTGACATTACTGCAGATAACGGTTGCATAATGTTCTCGGTTTGGCTGTGCATGAAAGAACTATTGTGCGTGGGACATATTTCATCACCTTTAAATGCTTCATTTTCTCTTTTGTTAAAATTGTTTTACTTGTAAATTAGAACTGAGGAAGACGTTATTCAGGGATGATATGTTTGAGGAAACTATTTTTCCAGAGCTCATAAATTCTGCTAATGGTTGCACCGTCTTTAAAACCCTCCCAGCAGCTTCTGCTTCCAGCAGCTGGTGTTTTAAAGTGTTGCTTGAGGGCAAACTCCATAAATTTGTTTTTAAATTCCCTGGAATCTGGTGACTTTGTGGCTGCCCTCTAATTTACTTTGCTCTTGCTCAAGTCTGCCTCTTTCTTTCTTATCCATATTCAGTTGCCAACAAAGCCCTGAACACAACCTGCTGAGAGCTGGAGCTTGATGGATTTCAGCTGTGAGTATTTTATTATGTTTCAGCAGGAGATGAGAATCAAATCATGGGAAAAATGGAGTCGTTTTTCTTTTCTACAGTCCCCGCAGGTCTTCCTGCTGGATGAAAGTCCACCTCCCGATGACCTCCGTCTGACGGAGGCTTGGTGTGCTGCTGCTTTGAGGGAAAACACGAAGCGATAAATACCAGAGATGTTTGTTAACCTGAGAAAGACCAAAAGAAAGTGGACTCTGAATCCAACCTTCCCAACAATAGTTTTTAAAAAGGGTGTGTAGCAAAATCAGCATATTTGTCTCTATAGCAGAGATTTAACGTTTGATTTCAGATACTTTGTTTCAGTAACAAAAACATAAACAGGAGTGATTTGCTTTTTCAGCAAATTTCAACAAAGTCATTCAAGCTCTCAGAGTTCACATTGCATTTTAGCAGAAATATATATCTAGATAATCGGCCCCGTCGTATATACATACAAAGTACATACATACATACATACATACATACATACATACATATATATATATATATATATATATATATATATATATGTATATATAAAATCGTTAAAGTATCATCATGTCATACATGTGTATGTGTGTTTGTGTGTGTGACCTCTGTTCTTCTCCAGTGTAACTTCTATCTACTTGAGAATTTTGCACCAAAAACATTAAGGCTTACTTACATCATCTGTTCACATCCAGTGCACAAAAAGTTGAAGAAAAGTACAAAGATGTATTATTCAAACCTCTCAGGACGCCAGGACATCAGCATACTGCTTCTTTATTGTCTTTATGGTGGGAAAAAACATTTTTTAAACACAATGCCTATAAAAAAAACAGTACTAATGTAAAACAAACACCCTCAGTCCAACATTTTTCAGTCAGGTCATCTGGACAGTTTCTTTTTTCGTGCTGAAACGTTTCGCCTTCGATCCAGAAGGCTTCATCAGTCAAGGAAACACACAACAAAACTGATTCTTCCTCCAGATGACCTGACTGACAAATGTTGGATTTTATACCTGGATTATTGAGCATGGATCTTCTTGTTAAACACACTCAGTCTTTTTTTTAACATGTTATTTATTTGTTAGTCTCTTCATAAACTCTGTAAGTTTAAATAGCAGAATACAGTGAAATCTGTAATGGAGGGTTTATGCTAAGACAGAAAGTGATATGGCTGCACAAGCTAAATTTATTCCATTTAGTTCATTTTTCCTGCTTCAGCAATCCGAATCCTTCACCATGGTGAAAAGGAACGTGCAGAAACTGGACCAGGAGTGGCTGCAGAGCTGCTCTGCCAGCTTCCTGTTATCGGGCTGACAGGATTTGACAGCTTTAGTTGTGAACGGCGGAATAGAAGATGAGGCGCTCTTTATTTTTGGTGCAGCACCGAGTCTGAAATGAGCCTCTCTGCCAGCTCTTTTGCACACACCTGCCCGCACCAATCCACCGTGGTCCTGACAGATGTTCTTCTGCTTCTTCAGGGCCCTGGAGATCTGTGCCCAGAAGAGTTCCTTACTGGAGGCATACTGGGGACACACGGATGGTCTGGCAGCATACTCGCAGCTGAAGCTCCTGTCTCTGTTCTTGCAGGTGATGTTAAGAGTGACGACGGCCTCACCTGTTGCAGTCCAGGTACACTCTGACTTGTCTCTGGTGACCCAGTCGCCCACTGCTCGAAATGCAGAAACAGATTTTGATTGGCGGCCGAGCTTTTGGCCTGTTTCCTTGTGTTGTCCTCTGTCACCTCGTCCCCTCCGCCCATGACCTTTGGGAGAAGCGCCTAATATCATCGGATGGGAAACACAAGCGAGGACCAGGAGGATGATGATGTTGGTGAGGAGAGCCATGAAAACCACACAACACGCCCTGCAAGAGGGGACATTCACTTTGTCATGTGACCTCAGATATTTGCTTTACTACGTTTCCATTAAACCTACATTTCAGGAAAAGAAAGGAAAAGAAAGATAAAATGCATGAAGCAAATCTGAGACTGTTTAAAGTCAAACAGCAGCATAAACATTCACATATTTGTGGTTTTTCAAAAATAGAAGAAAAACCACTGAGTAGTAAATCCATGATGTAATACACAGCAACGGCAAGAACAATGAGCTAATACAGAAACACAGTCTTACATTACAATGTCACGCAAGATCAACCAAACACAAATAATTAAACTATCTTTCAAAATGTGCTCTATGAAATGCACTTTATGGGAACAACATGCACAATCTATTTCATAAAAAAATACAACACTTGACAGCAATTAAGTCAAAAGAATAAAACACCTCAAGTTGTGAACGGAACAAATAAAAAAAAAAGATTTTATTACAGTTGAGGACGTCGTGCTGTAACTTACCAGAAGTTTTCAGGGAAGCTCTGCTTGTCTTGACACATGAAATATCTTTAGTCTTTCCCTGCAGCTAGCAAGAAGCTGCTGCATAATCAGCCCTCCCCTTCAGAAACTCTCACCACCTGACTGGAGGAATTCACAACCCGTAAATCAGCGGCACGGATAAAGTAGCTTTAAACCAAACAGCTTCACTGAAAATACACAAAACTGCTTCATTTTCAAGTTAAAGCTACAAAATATGAAATCAAGCCAGAAGACCAGGAATTAATGTGACTGACTGAACTCAAAGTCTGTCGTGCTGCTGTTCGACGTAATGTTTTTATGCCATTAGTGCTTCGTGTATTATTTAGCTGATGTTTTTCTTAGTTCATATTTTAGATCTTATTACTGTTTTTCTTTTACATTTTATTGTTGTTCACTTCACCACTTGCTCTCGCTGAGATCGGATGCTTCCCTCCCTCCCTCTCCGCTTTGCTGCTCTGTCTGTCTGTGAAACTGCTTGTGAGACTCTCTTGCATTTCCTCCGAACCATAATTATGGACTCGTTTCGACCAGTTGGTCCCTCAACTCAATTTACAACATTTCTTCTAAGAGAAGACAGGCCTTAGGAGAGCCGATTTGTCCTGTTGGCACGCACACAGCTGGATATCTCATCGACTGGAAGACTTGATGATGTGTCTATCTCTGCTGCCATCTGTGAACTTTAAGGACGCATATTTAATTGGATTTTCGATAACTGGTTTCTGCTTTTTGGATTCAGTTGGTTACTGGTTTTATCTACAATCAAGGAGGTCGTCTGCAGCAAATTTGGACCTGATCACGCTGCTTGCCTTTATGATGACTTGGTTCGTGTCTCATGTACCCAGACTCAAATGCTTTGGGCTGAATGGATCAGATTTTGGGGATTTTACTCAGTCGCGTTCCATCGGTGTGGCCATGTAATTTGGACATTTCGGAACCGAGTGGACCAACACAGACTCAAGGTAGATGTCATTAAGTTCTGCCTGTCCCCAAAACAACTGTGTGTTTATCTAAGTTGGCTCCCTTGGCTGGTCTTGAAGGCCATCTTTTCTGAATTCACCTGGAGAACATGTGATCTGACGCTCACCACCCCCTCCCTGAGGAATTTCCAACTGATAACCAGCTGAATAAACTTTGTGTCATCATTTCAGGACTCTTGGATTCTCATAGATGTTATTCTTGGCCATTCCTCGATATACCTTGAGAATGTTTATGGATCTCACCGGAGGACATTGACTGATTATTCCATCCTTATCAGAACTCTTAGTGACCTCAAGAGCATCTATGAACATGCACACTGCTCTCGGCTCCCCCCTCTGCAGAATGTCTACATCACAATGTGCTTGTTTGTGCGAGGTGTTTTTTTAATATTAGAGGGGTTTTATCATCAGGCAGAAAAAAAAATGTCTGATAGGATTTTTTTTGCCTCCAACTCCTACATGTGTTCAGTTAACCGTAGTTTTTGTTTGTCCAAACAGGTCTCACTTGTAAATGAGCCTTCAAGGCTCAATGTGATTTATCTGTTTAAATAAAGGTTGATTAAAAGAATGAATGAATGGATGTTACTGGGATCTTGCATATAATTTTGTTTCACCACGAGAAGCGAATGACAAATAAATCTCTCTGACTCTGACTGTATTTGATTATTATCTGATATAAAATTGATCTAAAATCAGTATGAATGAGTGACGTTCAAAGACTAAGAATGTTTCACATCCAAGACTTTCTTTGACTCATTTCACTTAATTCCTTGTTGCCATTTGTTCATGTCTTTCTGTCAATTTAAAGTCATGATTTGATGGTACTACTGTTTGTGTTGGGGTTTGTTCTCAGCTACCACTACACCAAATTTGAGCTGAATAGCTCTAAAAATGGCAAAGTTATCGTAATATTTCCTTTTTAGCTAAGGCGGCCATCTTGAATTTTCGATTTGGATGTAGTATGTGATGGGGAACGTTCTCAGCTAAAACCTCACCAAATTTCAGCTCTACGGTGTACACATGTATTTCTCAAAGAATGACTGAATTATAGTCAATTTTGTGTTTGCTGGGGTAGCTGTGGCAGCCATCTTGAATCAAAACGGCCCCAAATGTTAATCAGTCCTAAACATTTATCTGATGATTACTTTCTGTGAGTTTCAAACAAATCCAACAGTGAGGTTCTGTTTTCTTCAGGGACCTCTACAGTCCAAGTCGTGACTTGACAGCAGCAGTTAGTGTTCTCCCATTTATTTCCTATGGGGAATATAGCATCTTTGTTAGCAAAACACGTCGCCATGGTAACTCGAAACACCAATGAAAGTAATGGCACACATTTGTGGGGGTACACGTTGCAGTTTGGGCCTCATTAAAGTTGACGTAAGAGTGGATAAGATATAAAGTAAAAAAAAAACCCGAGTTGGGTGGATAACAATAGGTGTCTGCATATACTATGCAGTCCCCAATTAAATCCTTTTTATTACATTAAAAATTAATATTCAAAGACATTTATTTGTTTCTTATTTTGGAGAAAAAAAAAAACTTATTTCATTCATGTTATTTATTAATATTCCTGACTTTTAGGCTAGAAGATGTTGATGAATAAGCCTTTTAATATAATGGTCGTTTTCTCAGAACAAATAATCTCTAATTAAATAAAATTGACCAGTAAAGATGGTTTTTTTTTTCAAAAGTCTTTATTTGTAACATTAAAAATATTTTCACAGTCAGTTTATTTGAAACAAATACACCAGTAAAGAGCCCTGAACACAACAAACTCTCCTAAAACACAATATTTAGGGTATAAAGAGAATATTATAGAAGAGCATAAACATAGATATGCTGTCACATTTTAAAGCTCTATGTTTTCATGCAAAACATAAATGAAAGTGGTGAAATTCTTCCAAGCTGGTTTGAATAAAAGATGAAGCATGTGAGTTCTGAAAAAGTTTTTTTTAGTTTTTCCACCCCATAAGTATCAGAACGTTTCCCGAAGAGGATGCTACAGTGGTTTTCCCATCCAGCTGCAGGCTCGGACTTTCCCTCCACTCATAGTTTTGATCAGAAGTTAAGAAAAATCTGAAAATAAAGCAGATGAAGAAATGACATCATTATCAACAAAGAAGAAAAACACGTGTTTTTTATGAAACGTCTGAAAGAAAACGTATTTAAATTCCACCTGTCCAGCACAGACGTGCTGTGAGTAAATAGAGTTCTGCTGCTCACCTCGTTGGCTAATTCTGAAACCAACCGATGACGACGGAGCAGATGCCCTGCAGGGACCTCCAGCAGTAGTGCCGAGCCATTCTCTTGGGGGTGCTCTCAGATGGAGGGGCTGTTGGAGTTGGACTGGATCTCTGCGTGGCCTTAACTCGTTTTAGTGGCCGAGCTGTTCTCCACATGGGCCTTGCAGGTCCCTGTGCAGTTTGAGATCTTGCAGACTGCTGTGATGGTCGCGCTGCTGTCCTGTAAGAAGTGCCCGGCTGGGGGATGGAAGCAGACTGGAAGACCATCTGAGATTCATCAGCTGCCTTCCTGCACATGTGGGATTTGAGCTGTCTCGGTCCTCGGCAGGCATTTGGCAGCTTTCTCAGGGTCCACATCAGCTGGACAAAGTAGTGCCGTGGGTTTTTGTTGTAAGCGCTGCAGGTGTGTGGTTTCCCCGCGTAATCGCACCAGTAGCTCCTGGCACCCTGGCACGACAGCCTCAGGTTTGTATTTTCTCCTTGGCCCGTAATCATCATTGTGCACTTGTCTTGATTCTTGGTGACAAAGTTGATGGGACTGTCCCAGATGCTTGGTCTCCTGTTGCTGTCACTCTGAGCCTCGGCTGGCCAGAGAAAGAAGACGAGCAGCAGCGCAGTGGCCCGGATCCTCATGGTGTCGGATGGATGCTGATGGAACAAAGAAGAAAGTGGAACTGCCAGAGCTCATGCTTTCTCTCACTTTTTATTGGCTGAGCAGAACATGTAAATCCAGACACACAAAGAGTCAGACCAGGAAAAAGAGATATTCTGGGCGGAGAAGAAGTTATGTAACAAAGTACACACAGAGCGAAGCTCAAGACATTTCTTAAAAGGTTTGTCACATTCCTGCCACAAGCTTTAAGAACTCCTACAAAGACAGTGTGTTGACATATCATATTCCAGTAATAAAAAGTGTGGCATGTCTGATACTTCTTGTAAACAAGCTTTAGCTTCTTGTTTACTTTAAGTGGCAGCTGAAGCTCACGACTGCTCAACGCAGCCTATCATTTTCCTCCACATATAAACACGGCGCAGTGCCGCAGAGAAACACGACGTGACGAAACAGGACAGCCACGGAGTGATTGCCATACCATAGGAAAAAAGAACAGGCATATATGAGACACAGCAGGGGGTTTATAGACATTGTCAGGCCTCACTGGGTTCTCATAGTGGTTTTATGTTCTGGCAAATATTGATAAAAGTTATTGCGAGCAATGTGCAATAAAAGTGTTGAAAAACACAGAGCTAAAGCAGAGCAGGTCTTCAATAGGTTCTGCCACCGAGTTGTGATTTCAGTCCATTTCTCCAACTTTGGTCTATTTTATGTTCTGGGTGAACAGACATTTGACATTTTCATTACATGGAAAACATCTTCTACCTCCACTGTGTGCAGCCTCATACAATGTCAGGGCAGCTGTGGATCAGTGATTAGAGCAGTCATCCTCCAACGACAGAGTCAGAGGTTCAATTCCACCAATATGCAGTGGTACGACAAAGTGCCCCTGTGCAGAACACTGAACCCATCATTGCATCCAATGTGCACCACTATGAATATGATACAAAACACTGATCCAACTCTATAGAATCTTCTTCTTCTGGTTTTTCTCTCTTCAGGGGACGCCACAGTGAGTCCTCGTCCTCCATCTCGCTCTGTCCTCACTCCAACTACCTCCATGTCCTCTCTAACTGCATCCATATATCTCCTCTTAGTCTTTTTTCCTGGCAGCTACATTTCTAACAACCTTCCACCATATCCACTGTTCCTCTTCTGGACATGTCCAAACCACTGTCCCTCCTCTGGACATGTCCAAACCATCTGTCTGTCCTCTCTAACTTCATCTCCCAGTTGTTCAACCTGTGCTGTACCTCTGATGATCTCATTCCTGATCGTCTCCATCCTTGTCTCTCCTAAGGAGATCCTCAACATCTTCATTTCTTCACTTCCAGTTCTGTCTCCTGTCTTTTTGTCCATGTCTCTGTCTCCAGACCATACAACATAGCTGCTCTCACCACTGTCTTGTAAACTTTTCCTTTGACCTTTGCTGACACCCTTTTGTCACAAATCACTCCTGAAACTTTTCTCCATCACTCCATCCTGCCTGGACTCTCTTCTATGATTTGTGTAAATTAGCCCTGTAAAGATGCAGTGGTGTTTGAACGCATGAGGATGGGTGCGTTTTAACATTTGTGAGATGTCATGCTCATGTCATGTGAATGACACTAAACTTCAAGCCTACAGCATCAAACGTTAGCTCAATATGGTAAAAATAGGAGTTAAAATCATTTTTGTGTTGGCTTATGTCAGCTGGCTACGGTGACCATTGACTCCAAAGTGTTATCAGTTGTAGATGTACAGCCAGTGTCTACTTCCTAAAAGTTTTATAAAAAATTTAGTTGTTCACAATATATTATAAATCATACACAAGAACAAGCAGCAACATTAGTGTCTGTCTTTTGATGGCGAGCGACACTTGGTTCAAGCTTTACAGAAATCAGTATGAAACTGTATGTGAAAATATTTAAATTCACCACACCCACGCCGAGTTTTGTGCGTCGTAAAGACAGAAAACACGTATTTTTACTGAACCACTGTCTCTGCTTTTTTAACTAGTTTGTGTCTACATGTATTGAAGCAGCCGGGAGTTAGCATGTTTTTTTTTTTTTTGCTTGATGTTGTTTGGTGACTGAGAAAACCTCAGAAGAAGCTTATAGAAGAACATAATAATCTCTTATTGAAATAGCTGACCAGCCATGCAACCCACAGGATTGTGACTCACTGTGCCACTGCCACATGCAAAAAATGTGTATTGTGCAAAGTTTTTATGAAACAATTGGCAACAAGAGAAAGAAAATAATAACACGCCGTTTCAATTTATTGTCTGAAAAACAACTTTCTTTTTGTATTATTCCAAAATATTAGTCATGATCACAAAGAAGTTATACCAAAAAAAAAGTGTCCAGTTGAAAACAAAAATGACAGGAAATAACTTGAATTAGAGACTTTATTCACAATTTATACACTTTTAGCGTTGCCACATAAAAAGTCACCTCACTGACGCCGATGAGCTCAGCTTTGAGCATCACATTTGAAACCAGCCACAGGTCCATGCAGTTTGGAGACACATCTACTTTAAGCACTTGGTTATATAGTTTTAACCCCAAGAGGATTAATCAGAATCTAATAAAAAATGATAGCCAGTGTAAGCACACAGATAACTTAAAAACGTCCATCTTTAAAGGAAATCTGTTGTTTAAAAAAAAGATAAAAGAAAAAGAGATAAAACATCTTTATTAGTAGAAGTAATTTTGTATTTCCTTTAAGCTAGACTGAAAAAAAACTATTACAAAAAAGGCTATCCTTTTCCAATTACAGTATCGTAAAATAGATTAAATTTATTTGAAATGCTGCTGTAATATATGTAAAGTTGGGCTAATGTGAAAAACAGAAAATGTGGCTAGCAACATTTAGCTTGCTAACCAGTTCAGTACATCAGCCACACAAAAAATAGATCATTGTTAGTGCTCAAAATATAACTTTACCTTCTAATTAAGGCCATGAAGACATAGTTAAAACCTTTCATTAAATGTAAAAAAGTAAAAAGAGTAAAGGATGCGAAGCGGTGTCTCACTTTAGCAGCTGAATAACAGTTTTTGCTGCCAAATAACATGATTTTTTTTTTTTGTAACTCCATAAACACCCTTTTCACATTTATTTGTTTGTAGATTAAATTAAATTATACAAACAATAATGAAAATGAAAAAATGTAGTTTATTAACTTTTTTATTTATTTTATTTTATTAACTAGCTTAGAGCTAATTAGTTTATGTCATTGTTGATTAAACTGTTGGGTCAACAGCATTTTATTGTTGAAATAATCTTATATTATTTAAACCACTGATCTTTTTTGCTTTATTCTTAAACAAGTGCATTTTTGTTGCTGTAAATACGTATATTTCTATTAATCTCTGGAATATGTTTTGTTATTGTGTAGTTACAACCCAAACTCCGATGGACGCTGTTTTTTCAGCGTTTGCATAAACCTTAAACATACTTTTGTGTATAATCTGATAGTACTCTGTTGATTAATAATGGATTGTCTAATTTATGATCATCATCATCATCATAACTGCATACATCTGCAGAAAGTAGCTGCAGAGGTAGGTGGGATATGTTGATTGGCTTGAAACTTCAGCATTCAACTTTCATGTTAAGCAATAACAACATAATATAAAAAACCTCTTGCATTAATGTTTTGTGTATTATTATTATTATTTTTTATAAAAGCAAACTAAATACATGAAAACTGATAAACCACTAAAAGGTGTTTGGCTTGAGAGTTCTTTTATCCACTTTAAAGTTTTACCTTTAAAGAAGGAAAGATCTTTATAGAAAACTGACTTTGTGATTCAACCATATGCAGATATGTAAATAAATCCTTTAACTTTTACGTGACTTCAGGACCATTCATCTGGCGTAAGAATCCAAAACGTGACGAGTATAAACCGAGCCAAAGCTAACTTTCAAAACTATTATTGTTTGTGAATGTTTTGTTTGTTAAAGGAGCTAAAAGCCACACGTTTTTACTGAAATGGGGGAAAATGCAGCTAAAAGATTTACACTGACATTTAGGCTGTTCAACTAAACTGCTCAGGGGCCACAGTTTCTGAAAACCAGCAGCTCAGGGGCCGAACATCCAGCAATTAAAGTCATTATGTCAATAAACCATATTTTACAATTTTACAATGATCTGTCGCTTTTTAAATTTGCTTACTTTGTTGTGTTGAATCATAAATGCAATAAACAGAAACATGAATTCAAACCTAACCCGGACCCCGCCTCAAAAAATAAATACATTTTGGAACTCATTTGTGGGCCGGACTGAAGTGGCCCGTGGGCCAGAAGTGGCCCGTGGGCCGCCAGTTGAATAGCCCTGATTTAGGCTTTGGGTTTGTGTGCATCCTTGGTACTCCCAGAACAAATGAAGGAGTGGCATCATTCAATGTGCAAGTTTCATGAGGAAAGAAAAAACTAAATGTTATATTTTTGTAAGGGCTAAACATCTACAAAATATTTTCAAATGTATATTTTTTTTATATTTCGTTTGAAATGCAAGAAACTACACCCGACTCATCACGTCTGTCAGTCTCTAATTTAATTTAATTGTTTCTAATTAAAAAGGAGTGTACTGATAAAGGCAGTTTTTTTTACGCGTTTCAAACCAGAAAAAATTAACTTTTGTGAATTATTGTAAACAATTTTTAAGTCTTTAAAGTGTTTCTTACAAAAACGTCTTGACTAATCTCCGTACCACTCTGATCAAACAAGCCAGTTCTCGTTCATCATCTCAGCATGTGCACGCGCTCCATTGAAAGGAAAGTATTTTTACAAAACGTCGCTCCAACACTCACATCTTCCGCAGCAGGCCCACGACACACGGCGAGACGTTATCCTAAAGTGTGGCGTCCGCTCTGAGCGCAGGACGGAGATGTTCAGTGAGATTCCAGTTCCTGTGTTTTGAACCAGTCCAGTAAACGCGCAGACAGAATCGTTCTTTTTTACGAGCTTTGTTTTATTTTCGTACAAACACGAACGCAGCAGTCCTGCAGAAAACGCAGATGAAGTCCGGCTCAGATTTCTGTTGACGGGAGAGGAGTTTGAGGTCCTGCATGCAGGAGCAAAGCCAAACGTCTGAGAAGGTTCAGCGGATCTTTGAAGGAAACATCTGCAGGATGTTTAGTTTAGTGTTCTTCCTTTGTTGTAAAGAAACCAGCTTCGCTTGAGAGTCCTCCAGTTGGACAAAATGTAGAAACAAGCAGCTAAAACAAGAAAAAAGTTTGGTTAGTTTCCTCAAACGATGCTCACCACGTAGCTCCAACATTAGCCGGGCACATTTTGTATCGTTCTTTTGATTTGTAACCTCAATTTAAATTAAAACATTGATGTTTTGAGATTTGAAGACAACAGTTTGGTGTCCCAGTCAGTACTGACGTGAAACTCACAGAACTTTTATAAAAACATAAAAGTAAGACATGGAAAACTGACTCATGGTGAGAATAGTCTTCACTCAAAGAAAGCACATCACCTGCTGCTATAAATGAAATGTTTTAATTTTTTTTTTTTGGGGGGGGGGGGGGGGATAAAGTATGCATTGGGGATGACTCTCAACTATGAATTCAAGCCTGTTCTGATTGAACATTTTGGTTTAGCAACATGAGACAAACTTATTTTATCAAATTATTATAAAATGCATGTGATGTATGAACATGTAATATATAATCATGAATACGTAAGTGATTCAGTTGGTAGAGCTACTGCCTCTGAGCAAGAAGGTTGCTGGTTAAAATCCCAGCCAGGGGCCTTTCTGGGTGGAGTTTGCACGTTCTCTCCGTGCATGTGTGGGTTTCCTCTGGTTTCCTCCCACAGATTAAAAACATGGATGTTGGGCTGACTGGTGACTCTAAATTGTTCCTAGGTGAGAGAGAAAATGGTTGTTTGTCTCGATTGTCTCTATGTGTCCCTGTGATGGACTGGAGACCTGTCCAGGGTGTCCCCTGCCTCTCACACAGTGACTGCTGGACATGGGTGTCAGTGACCCCCCCCAAACCCAGAAATGAAGAAGTGGGTAAAGATAATGCATGGATGGATAAAATTCATTTAGTTCATTCAGAATGGTCTGAATACTTGGATGAGTGTTTTTTTTTTTTTTTAGTATTTTACAACTTTTGTACATGAAAAAAAGGTAAAAATTACAACCTGTGATCTCTGCTCCTCCTTATTTAAATTCTATTAGTCCTCCTGCCAGGATGCAATATAAGCCCAACACTTTAACTCACAAGAATCAAAATTTACTAACTTTATTGTGAAGGAAAAATATTACTTTAATCAACACTACCGTCACAGAGACGTTTGTATTTAGACGCTGTGCTGCCATCGATGAGGCTCAGATACTTTAAAGTTTAAAAGTTAAATAGATTTTTCTCCTGGTCCTAATTGCTGCTACAGGGACACCCTAACAAGAAAAGTTCTGATCAGGATATTATTGATCCGATAACTGAAACGAGATACGGCACTTTCAGTCAAACATCTTCAGTTGCTGTAGATTTACTTCTCTATCACATTTGGCCTTTTGTTTTTGTTTTTGTGTTTATTTTTTGTCGTTGCTGTTTTTTGGCGGGTCGAGAAGGTTCTTCTCGTCCTCAGCGTTTCATTGTATTGTTGACCTTGTGTTGATTTGATTGATGACAAATAAACCAAACCTGAACTGGAACTGAAAACTCATAATGTAAAAATAAGAATGCAACGTTACCTGGGTGTACGTTAGCTCCAGTGTTCAACAGTACTGCAGGACAGAGAACAAAATCAATTTAGTTTTTTTTAAAACACATCAGGTAATTGCTTTAAAATGCATGATTATTTTTACATCATAATTAAAGGGCTCAGAAGGTTCATGCAGCTCTGACTGTGTTGTGAAATAAAAGATCTTAAAATATCTGACTGTTTTTATGCAGCTCAGGTGTGGATTTTAAACTGTATTTGTCTTTTTCCCACAACTAAGACGGAGCTCTACAAAACTCACAGGAACAAAACAAACTAACAAAAAGCAGCTTCTTAAAATCAAAAATATATATATTTTTAGAGCTTCAAAATCAATAAAGAAATGCTGCATATATTTAAGAGCTGTGGGTTTTAATATATACACTTTATGTAGATTTATAAATTTGATTCAGAGGGAGAAAGGAATGTGGTGAGCGTAACTGTACTGCTTATCAACATAATTATTATTGTTTTAGACTAAAACTTTACAGCACAAAGAAACAGAATCTCAAACCCTGAACAAAACAAAGTTTGGTTACATTTGGTCACAAGGTGAAAATGTACCCGTGAGAATCATTAACACGTGAAACCAAGTTGGACTTCTTTAAGTTTGAATCAAGAAAAGGAGATCTTAACGTGCAGCATGTCAACGAGTTTAAAGTAAAAGAAGTACTTTATCACGCAGCTGTTACAGACAATGGGTTAGTTTTAGAATTATTTAAATACTTTCTGCTGTTTGATCTGATGTTCTTGTTCAGAATAAATTACTCGTGTTTAAAATGAAAGTGACTCGTGTAACCAAGACATGTTGATCCCTTAGTGTTCACATCCGTGCTCCTATACAACGATCATACCTCTTGGTCATTTTTCTAGTTTGTTGCCTGCATCTGTTCTAAAAGCCCCCCAGTATCAACACCAGTCCAACACCTCACAGTAATAAGATTTGTCACAGAACAGCATGAAGACTCAGAAGTTCTCCACAACGGTCCGAGACGAAGAACAACAGATCAGAACCTTGAATTTTCCACAAAGCTCCATCAAACTCAAAATTAGGAAATGGAAAGATGGTGCCACAACAAACCTGAGAAAAGAGAGTCAACCACCAAAACCCAGGGTCAAGCTGGGAGGATGTTAATCAGAGGAACATCCAGGAGGTCAAAGAGAAGCCTCGTGGAACTGGGCTGCTCTGCTGCAGACGTGTCCCCAGGACCACTTTGAGCTGCACGGAGCTGAGCTCCACGAAGAAAAGATGGACTCTTTGGAACTTCTTCCCCAAATGTGAAATAAGTGATGGGGTCAGATGACACCAAAAATCAGCAGCATGTCTGACACAAACCTCTGATAACAGCAGTGAAGCATGGTGGGGGCAGCATCATACTGTGGGATTGGTTTGCATCAGCAGCAACTGGGAAACTGGTCTGAGGTAAAGACAAGATGGATGGAGCAAATACAGAGAAAATTCTTGATGGAAACCTGATGGAGTCTTCCAGAGTCTCGAGTCTGGGACGGAGGTCCACCTTCCAGCAGGACAACGAGCCGAAACACAGCTGAAGCTACACTCCATGTGTTTAAAGAGAACCAGTTAAAGGTCCTGGACTGCCCAGACCTCAGTCCAACTGAGATTTAATTTAAAGTTTGTTGGACACAAGCAGCATCCAACCTGAAGCAGATGGATCAGTTCAGTCATGAAGAACAGAGAAAAACTCCAGAAGTTTTTAATTGAGTTAACAAAGATTTTTAAAGTAAAAAAAAAGAAAAAAGAAGACATTTTTAACTTGTGTTGTTTTTATGAGCCGGATGCCAAAGACAAATCTCCATTTATTTGAATGTTATGGACAATAAAGTTAAAGTGATTGATTGAAGTTAGATGGTCCAAGTTAACGGAGACAAATCTGACTCGATGCTGGACCTGTCTCTATGTAGGCCTGTCGCAATAAACAATAAATCAATTAACCGCATGATAAATGAAAATTATCAATCTCATTTTCATTTATCGGCTTTATCATTTCTTCGTGTCTCTCTCTTTCTACTGAAGACACTGGATGACAAAAGGCTCAACTCCGGTGCTCCTCACTGACCCCTCCCTTTCTCTTTGAATTTATTTTAATCGTTCAAAATCGTGTTTTTTGGATCGTTACAAGCAGCTAAGCTGTGAAGCTAAGCTACGAGTTAAGCTAACAGGCCGACCTCAGGGAAAAACATCCGTCTTGTCGAAGCTCCAAAATTTACGGTTGAAACTTGTGCCTTTGTGTAAAAAGTTGTTTTTCTTCATAAACAGAAGTTGAAAACTTGTTTACTGATTTTTTATTAATAGCTTTGTGTAAAAAATGCTAAAGAGCTCAAACCACACAGAGCGTCTGCCATTTTGAGAACTGAAAACAATGAAAGAGACACAGCCCATGTCATGTCAAGGGGCCTCCCTCCCGTTTTTCTTAAAGAGATACGCTGCTCGCTCCCTCACTATCCATCCTTCAGTTCAAACAGTCTTATACTGCCATCCAGTGGTTAAAAAAGGTACTACACACAAAATTAACCAGCATTTCTTCTAAAATTTCTCATGACATATTATTGTCAAATTTCAAACAATATTATCGTTTATCGCAATAATTTCTAAGACAATTAATCGCCCAGCAAAATTAGTTATCGTGACAGGCCTATGCAGAACTGAGTTCTGGGGGCTGAATGCACAGATTATTTTTCTGTTCTTTATTCCAATTTCCTTTTCTCTCCATCTTACTACATTAACCACAATAATTGCATTGCTTTTAATTAAAAGAAAAAAAAAACATTTAAATTCCTGGTTGGCATGGCAACAAAAACGGAACGAATACTAAGAGGGATGAATAATTTCATAACCAAGTGTAAATGATGAAATTTCACATAATTTCTGTTTTTCATCAGGTTCAAACAACGACATCCAGAAACACAAAGTGTGTCTGCGCTGAACTTTTCTTTCACAGTCGGTGGAAACTAAAACGAAGAATGATCCCGCCAGTGCGCTGTCACCGACTGAAATAAAAAAATAAATAAAACTTGTCACAGAGATTACAAATGTTTTTTTAACAAGTTGAAGTTTTCAAAACTCTAAAGCACACTGACAGTCAGGAGCTGCACGTTTATAGACATCCATAATTCTCAGCATGGCGGTTTCAGCGAGCAGAAAAGCACAAAAACGAGCTGTAGATACGTGTTAAAAAAGTTAGAGATTAAACATGAAAAATTACAGAGAGGAAAGACGATGGCAGGACAGGATGGAGGCTGTGATGAAAACAGAGTCAGATCATCTGAGTCTTTAACGTTCCAGTACCTTTCAGGAGCCAGAACCTGAACCGGCTCCGTCACCAGTCGATGTGCCTCGGAGGAGCCGAGGCTCGTGGAAACCTGTTCATTGTGTCATACGTGGGAACACTACCAGCACAGGAACAAACACACAACATAACCACAACATTACCAGCCACAGACAGAAAAAACAATTAATTAATAAATCATCGTCATCATTTTGTCAGACGGCTGCTTCTGATGAGTGACTCACACGACAGAGAGCAAAACGGCTTCATCAGCATCCTCTGAGGCTCGAACTGAGCAACCACTGTATGAGTCTGATGAATACATTTACTTCTGCTCCTTTATCTTTGAACAGTGAGGCACAGATTTCATTCCAAAAACCTGTTTATACATTTTTTTAAACAAAAATGACAAAAATCATTTACCGGACTTTATAAAGGCTTAGTCCGTTTCGTCCCGGGTACGTATTGAGCATTGCTTCTCTGTTTTATTTACATTCTCATCAAACCTCAACTGGTCAAAATGACCATTTTGGAATTAAACCTGTATACCAAAGACAAGGTCTGTAATTGTGTGAATGTTTATGACGTATTCACACTATTGTGACCCTGTTTATATTTATTATGCCAAGTTCTTTAAACTATTCCGTACATTTTTCAGCATTTTTCTCATTCTGCTGATTTTGTGCTATTTCAACAAATCATAAATCAAAACGTTCGGCTCTTTCAGGACAATCCTGCTGTGACTTTTGGTATTGCTGCAACTTCAGCTTTTTGAAATATTTAGCCTTTTCTGTTATTTTTTCCTCATAGAAAATGAATTGAGCTCATCCGTCAAATCTTTACATGTGTTTACAACCTTTTACTGCTCCTTTCACATTTTGTTCTGCTTCAGCTTCTTTCTGCAAAGAAAAAAAAAATCAGCTACTTTCAGCTAATTTCAGCTGCTTTTTCAGCTGTTTTATGCTTCTTTCTGATTCTTTCTTCTAACTACAACATTTTGTGCTTCTACTGACTTCTTTCTGCTAATTTCAGCTTTTCAGCTTATTTCTGCAAGTTTCAACTATTTCAGCTACAATTTAGCTGTTTTATGCTAATTCAAGCTTTTCCAGCTAATTCCACATTTTTTGCACTCATTTCAACTTTTTTCAGCCTAATTTAGCAAAATTGTGCTCTCTCTCCACTTCGTTCTGGTAATCTAAGTTTCCGTTTTCTTTTTTAGCCACTATTCAGCTGTTTTTTTATTTTCCTTTCAAAATTCTGCTTTTTGTCCAAGATAATTTCCACGTTTTGTGCTAATTTCTGCTTCTTTCAGCCAAATTGGGCACAATTATGCTCTCTCCACTTCCATCTGGTAATTTAAGCTTATTTCTGCCTTTCAGCTACTTTTCAGCTTTTTTTCTTTTCAAATTTCAGCCATTTATTTAATAGCAAATTTAGTAATTTTTATGCTAATTTCTGCTCATTTAATCCAAATTCAGCAAATATGTGATTTGCTTTCTTCTGCTAACTTGGGCTTGTTCTTCAATTTCAGCTATATTTTAGCACGTTTTAGCTAATTTCAGCTGTTTTACAGCAAGTTCTTCAGCAATAATTATTCACACTGCATTTACACAGGAAATGCAATTTCTCTAGTTAAAAAAAAAAAACATTTTTAGAAGCTTCCATGGTAAAAGGTGGCCTTTAATTCAGCTGTGTTGCTCTCTGCCGCTAGTGTTACAGCAGGTTGATGGTTCAAACTCAGCCCCACCCAAATGCAACTTAAATATATAAAACATGCAGTTAGACCTTCGGGTGAGGTTTCAAAACAGAAATCAAAGAAGCAGCGTTTTCAGCATCACACATGCTTGCCTCTCTCTGAACACAATGATCAGGTGAACGTTCAGCGGGCTTCGGCTGATGCTAAACAAGAAGAAACGGAGAGTTTTGAACGTCCTGAAGCCGCAGCATGCAGGTGGTTAAAGATCTGACAGCATCGACCCAAACCATGAAGCAGAACACGTTCAGCATGCCAGAGAGAGGAGGTGGTCGCAAAAACATCCATGAGCTCCTGGAGCCTCGCCTTCAATCAGGTGTTTCAGGGAGACACTTTTTTATATTTTACCTTTAAGATTTTAACGGATGATTGCAAATTAGCAGATTAATTTCTGTGTTGAAACACACAAACTGAATCATGTACTTAAGTCAAAGAAAATATTAGATGTCCAGTTGTGCTGTTTTTAACTTTTTTTGGATTTACCATGTCCTGGACGACTGCGAATCTTCACCAGCGTATATTAGATTATGCTATTGTTGTAGATTTTTGAAGTTATATTTCAAATTTGAACAAATTCTTTATGAATTTTTGTGACTGAATTTTTATTATTTTTTTTAGATTGTAATTTACCTTTAAATAATCCTTAGTTAAAAAGCACTTATTCAGTAAAAACCTCTAATTAGTCACTGGGTTGATTATACTAAGTTATACTTTAACTTTATTCTGAATTTTTATAAACTAGTAGATTGACCTTTAATGTGCAGTTCAAGTAAATATAGTACGACTTCAACAAAAAAAGACAAAACAGTTAGAATGACAAAAAGCTGCATTATGGTCAACTATTAAATATGTAAACTAACATTGTATGGGGATTATTTATTTATTTATTTTTTGATTGAACATGCATACATTTGTGACTTTGAGTTGTTTCACAGTATTTTCATTAAACTCTACCTCTGAGATACATAATATGTTTTAGACAAATATCAGAGCTGATTATACTTTTACTTTTTGTATATATATATATATATATATA